ACTCTTCTTTTTGGCGAAGGCCCTTGGCCTTAAAGGGTTTTATTTTGACCTTAACGAAATGTTAACCCGTTGTCGTTCGATCGAGGTCAAACTCTTCTTTTTGGCGAAGGCCCTTGGCCTTAAAGGGTGGCCTTAAAGGGTGTTATTTCGAACTTATCGAAATGTTAACCCGTCGTTGTTCGATCGAGGTTGAACTCTTCTTTTTGGCGAAGGCCCTTGGCTTTAAAGGGTATTATTTCGAACTTAGCGAAATGTTTACCCGTCATCGTTCGATCGAGGTCGAACTTCTCTTTTTGGCGAAGGCCCTTAGCCTTAAAGGGTGTTATTTCGAACTTATCAAAATGTTAACCCGTCGTTGTTCGATCGAGGTCAAACTCTAAGGGTGTTATTTCGACCTTAGCAAAATGCTAACCCGTCGTCGTTCGATCGAGGTCGAACTTTTCTTTGGCAAAGGCCCTTAGCCTTAAAGGGTGTTATTTCGAACTTATCAAAATGTTAACCCGTTGTCAGTCCCTGTTTTTGGAGAATCGGGCATCCTCTGGGAGAGTCCCAGTTCGCCGGATATTGTTGGCATCAGAGAGTGTAATATCGGAGAGTACGAAACGTTGCCCTTTCACTTATGTTCGTTTTGTTCCCGAATTGGGGTTTCCTTGCCTGACTCCTGCCTCTCGACCCGGAGATACCATCGGCGGAGGATGTTCCAGTTGCCTTGTGGTAGTTTCCCATTCTCTGATTGAGATGTTTCTTTGCTCTCTTGCCCGCGCGTCGCTTGTGTTCTGCTTGAGCAGAGAGCAGAAGGTAAGTTAGAATGATGCTTCTCTTACCCCCATCCAATGGATGGGTGAATGAGAGGAGGTCTGTGACGTTGCTCATTCTGTCTAGCGTTTCGATGGTTGATGGGGCCATTCCTAAATTTTGTGACTGTATTCAACTCTCATTCCCTTTCTATGTTGCGCCTTTGCTACGCTCGGGTGGGGCTTTGCCTTTGCTCTCTTTTTGGTGGGTAATCGTGATTTTTGATCTGGAAGAGACTAGGAAATTTCATTAGGAAATCCCCACAGACGGGGCCAAATTGTTTGATTCAAAAGATTTTGGAACCTTATTGAATAAATCAATCAATGAAATAGATGAGGGTAAATCTTAACCAAACATAATAAACCCCAGATCAAAAACTAGATGGGGGAACGGTATGTAAATGAGGTGAAAATAACCAATCTTATCGAAACTTTTCATTATCGCTCCCATTAATTAATGGGGGAGAACATATTACATATTTGTTCAGAGACTGTTTTGCTCTTCTTTTCCTTTTTCATGATTACAGATGAGAGAAAGATGGAGAGAGAGATCGCCAGAAGGATCGAGAGAAGGATCCCCCCCCCCCCACCATTAAGAGGTTTTTACCCTCATATATATACAGCCCTAGACCTCCGGTCACGTGCTTGATCCGACGCTTCTCTATACCTCGTATGTCTCGGTCGCTCTCTGGAGGCCATCCTTTACTGCCTCGACGAAAGTCGTGAGGGCAGGGTATGGAACAGACCGTGTCGATCCTCATTGCCTCGCCGTCTGTGAGCGGGGCGTTGGTCAGTCTGACCGTTGTGGTCAGATTTTGACCAATGCAACTGTAAGTAATTGTTTTATCATCAACATGTTCAATGTTAAGAACCTTAAAAGTTGAACTATAGGATTTAAATCTTGAATTTGCCTCCGCACATAAATATATGTAGTGGCTAAATATAAATTTGAAAATAGGAGATCCTTAATTAGGAAAGCTGCTTCTAAATTAGGAATGTGACGCCAAACCAAGTTACAATAATTTCTCTGTACCAACAATTTCCTCTTTGTATATAACAGAAGCTAGCTAGAGAAGTTTAAGATGATGTGAAGTCATAGGTTGAAAAACTTGCTCTGAATCTGATTCTAATGCCTCGATCATCTCAGGCCACAAAATAGCTGAGATAGTCCAAGATCCATCACCCTTAGCACCTGGCCTTTGGTTAATGTAACCAACTCCAAGCTTTTGTATGGTGGAGTAGACTGTTCCTACAACTGGACTTCCGAAGCCAAAATCTACTTCAGCCACCGGGAACCTCCGTCCAGACGAGACAACAACCGCTGGACCACCTTGGCCGAGGACAATTTTCGCGAGCATCAATCCCGGTTTGTTACATTCAATCCAATCAATTAAATCTAAGAAATGATCTGCACTTGTCACTTTAGAGATAGCGTTGTGCACGTTATTCGCGACATTTGCTATAGATGCTTGCTCAATTTCATTGACACTTGCTTCACCAACAGCTATAGATAAAGCATTCCCAATATAATTCTCCATTACTTTCTCAGTGTTACATATCCTTGTTCTTCCATCAACTAACCATCCCATCTTGCACTTCTTGTTTTGTCCTTTATCAATTGCCTTGACCATAATCTTCCATATGTAAGCCGAGAACGCCTCGATTTTAGTCCTTTTGGTACCATCAAGTGAAGCCAATTTTTGCAACCAGTCGATATTCGACGCATCAATGTAGTATAACCGCTTAAGCAATGTATTCGGGGTTGATATGTGGAGTATATCGTGAAGAGAGCACGAAATAAACGATTCGTCGAAGGAACGGTTGTATATAGGTGGGTACCGAGCACGAAGAAGGTACCGCCGGTGGTCAGGCGAGAAAGAGAGCGGTTTTTTCCTCGCAATCTCTGACCACATTAGTAAAAACTTAGTGAAGGAACTAGCATCACCTAAAGCATGATCAAATGTGAATGTTATAATTATGCCTCCACATTCGTAATTTGTGAGTTGGACTTGTACTGGAAACTCCTCATGATGTATTGGAACTAATTTTCCCTCTACACACTTATTAAGATTGTAGAAGTCAAGCTGATTTAGTGAAATGCTGGCTTGTGCTACCAAAAATAGAGCACCAGTATTATCACATAGAATTTCAGGCTCATTTGTTTCTGGATTTGGAATAATTCGACCAGCAAATGGGTAGAAATGAGAGAGGCAAATAGCAAGGGAATTTTTTAATTCATCAACGATTGAAGCTGATGAGTCGTTATGTTTTGCTTTGTGGTAGACGTAAAAGTAGGTCACTGGAAATCGTCCACTGAGAAGGTCAAGGTTTGAAAGGGTGAGAATACGAGGCTCTGGAATTGGACCAATCGCTTTTACTACTGATTTTCTGATGATATTTACTGCGTAATCACCATTTCTTGCATTTTCCAGTGCCATGATATTGCCTAAGGAACTTTAATTCGTCTACTTTATACTTCTACAATAGAGTTTGTTTGTGGCTGATACGAGTTATTTTTGGACGCTTTTTATAGTGAACCAATTAGCAAATGGAAAAACAATTAAGTTGATATAATGATGTCTGTAACCATTATGATTTAATTTAGTCATTTCAGGAAAAAGGAACGATCAGAAAGTGTTAGTGAAATGCTTAGCGAAGATTGCATTATGAACTTGGACTTGTTTTATAGTCATCCTGAATGTGACACGTGCTTAATTTACGGTTTGGCAGGAATTCACTCACACTAGTGCTAATGTTATTTAAAAGGGTCCATTATTTCTCTCATGTGCGAAGCTAAGTTGGCCCACCTTCGGCAAAAAATTAAATTACGTATAAATTAAAATATTACTTGTTATTGAATAACAATAGACTTTAATCAGTCTTGCATAACCCACTAGCAAAGAGTGTTCAATTATTGAATTTTTTGGCTTCGCCACTAATTTCTCTGCGGAGTCGTCGGCTTTACCCTATTTAAAGTCCTACACGAAACAGATATGAGCAATTAGTTTTTATTTAAACTCTGTCCATTGGATCTAGAAGATATGTACAAATTTATTTAGAGGTTCTGTTTGAAAAGAATGATATCTTTTTTAATTTGAATATAATTTAATTTAAACTTTCCAATCTCATTCTTAAAGACAATTTTTGTAGACACACAAACCGTAAATTTTAAATCTTTTCTATCTTTTTAAAATTTATGTCAAGTGAAAATAGGTCACACATAATCAAATGGAGGTAATAGCAATTAAAGATGGGTTACGACTGATGGCGGAATAGACTATCCAAAGCACGAGATACCTGGAATATGCGCGTTGCGCTGTTAGTATTATAAAATACTGTAGTATCTTATTGAAAATGCAAGTGCTAAAGTAAAACAATATGACTTCATCAGTTATAGTGCGTCCTTTTGACAAAAGGAATTCAAATGGGACTAGGTGGCAATTAAGAAGTTCAACAAAACAATTATGTCACCCCCAATCCCTCTATCATGAGGTAGCTTATGTGTACAACAAATATCAGAACATTCCTTCTGCAGTTTCAAATTTTAACATTTAAATTCACAATGTATAACAATCAAGATGTTAGTTGAAATAACTACTGTATAATAAATAATGGGAGTTATAATAAGACAAAAAGTTGAAAGACGGCACTTTCTCTCTCTAAATGCTCTCGGCGCATTTTAGCGTGAATATACTAAAATATGCCATCAGCCATGGGAGGAAGGGGACGACATAAGAAAACTGTAACGAAGATCCAATTAGCTGAATTCATCGCAACAACGAGTAGAAATAGCGAATCAAACAAGTTTACACCAAATCAAGGCGCACAAAATCGAGATCTGGAGGTGATAACACCAAAGGCAGGAGAGATTGAAACAACGAGTGCTAGTAGGAGCTTGAATGTGCAATTTACGAATAAACAAGCTGAAATTCAACAGAAAGAGGTACAATTAACACAAGTAGTAAGAAAGGTGAAGGAGCACATGCAGAGGAAATTCGCATCGAGAAGCAACCAATCATGATAGACACAAGTGCAGAGAAGGTAAATGAAGGAAAATCATGGGCAAATCTGGTTGCTGGTAACACGTTTGCTGCTAGAGGAATGGGACATCGTTTGTGGCACCAGTGATACAAAATGGGAAAAAATTGTTGAATTACAGCAAGAGGAAATTGAAAAGGAAGCAGAGAAGTGAAGACGGCAGTTATTATGTATGTGGTGGGAGATACACCAAGTATTGGAGCAATTGAGAGGTTTATTGCATCGCAATGGAACTTTGTATCAAAACCGAAGGTATACTATCACAATGATGGCTTCTTCGTAGTGAGATTCAAAAATGAAGAGGAAAGGAATGAAGTATTATACTCAGGACCATGTACAATCCAAAACAGACCAGTAATCACTAAGGCATGGACAACAGATTTTGATTTCAATGAAGAGGTGTTGAAAACACTGCCGCTATGGGTTAAACTACCAAATCTGCCTCTGAATTGTTGGGGAATGGATTCCTTGAGTCGTATAGGTAGTGGATTGGGAATTCCAATGTATGCTGATGAATGTACAACAAAGGTGGAAAGGATATCCTATGCTAGAATCCTTGTGGAAATGGACATTACAAAGCCATTACCAACAAAGATAATAGTTAAGGATCCGAGTGGTAGGCAATTTGATCAATCAGTTGTTTATGATTGGAAACCAATTTGATCAATCAGTTGTTTATGATTGGAAACCAACGTATTGTAGTACTTGCTTACAATTGGGACATAACTGCCAAACTAAACAAACACAGCCACAGATGAACAAGCAGCAGAAACAGAAGCAGGAATGGAAAACAAAAGAGCAGGAGAAACAAGGAAACACAAATCACAAGACACAAGAAGCAGCAGGAAATACAGAACAAGTACCAAAAATGCAGAATACAATGAAAGCAACAACGGAGGAGAATAGAGGATGCAAGCAGCAAAAGGAAAATCAGCCACAAAGAATACTCAAGCAGCACCAGCAAGAGAGTTAGCAGTGGGTAATGGCTTTAAAGTTCTTACTGAAGCATGCTTTAATGATCTAAACAGGGAAAATAGAGGGCAATGTAGTTATGGGGGAGGTGTGAAGGATGGGACAACAAACAACATAGTGAAATGCAATTAGTTACTTGGAATGTTAGGGGAATGAATAAGGTATATAAGCAAAAGGAGATGCAGAAGTTTATTAAAGAGCATAGTATTAGTATTATAGCTATTATAGAGCATAGAGTGCAAGAAAAGTTTTCAAGAAAAATCATTCAAAAAATAGCTCCTAGATGGGATTGGTGTACAAACTATGATGGAGGAGGAAAGGGTAGAGTATGGGTATTATGGGATCCAACAGAGATAAAATTCAGTATGAAAGAAGCTAAATCACAGTATATACATGGAGAGGTAGTGGTACTGGACACAAGGCGAGAATTTGATTTCACAGTCATTTATGGGATACATACAGTGGAGGCAAGGAAAAGTCTGTGGAGGGACTTAACAAGCTGGAATCACTATCAGAGAAAATCATGGATATGTATGGGAGATTACAATGCAATAATGGTAGTGGAGGACAGAATTAATGGCAGCACAGTCCAAGAGAATGAAATAAGAGATTTCAGAGAATTCCTAATTGATACAGGAATGTGTGAAATGAGAACTATGGGCAGGGACTACACATGGACTAATTCACATGTGTTTAGCAGAATAGATAGGGCAATCATAAATGCAGAATGGATAAATACCATGCCACAAGTAGATGCAGTGATTATGGATCCTCTATTCTCGGATCACTCCCCATTATGTGTCAAGATTGGAGATGAACAAAAGACCCCAAAGCCTTTTAGATTATTCAATTGTCTAGCTGCATTAGGACTTCTTAGAAGTAGTGGAGGAAGTATGGAATAAAGCTCCAAAAACAGGTAGAATGGCAGAAGTTTGGAGAAAGTTGAAGGAAGTTAGAATGCATTAAAGAGGCTGAACACAAAATAATTTCAAGCAGTAGATTTGAAGGTTAAAAATGCAAGACAGAAACTACAGGAGATACAAGGGCAGATGGGAACTACAAATGTATCAGCACAGATGTTTGAAGAAGAGAAAGATCTAAAGCAGCAACTGGAGAAATGGGAAACTATAGAGGAAAGTATCTATAAGCAGAAATCCAGGAATCAATGGCTGAAGCTAGGGGATCACAATACAACATTCTTCTTTGCTAGCATGCAGAATAGAGTAAATCAAAATAAGATTAGAAGTTTGAAAAATGCAGATGGAGAAATAATTCAATCTAAGGAAGTAATAGAAATGGATATAGTGGGATTCTATAAAGGGCTATTGGGATCAGCAGCTGATAGCATACCAGCAATTCAACCAGGCATCATGAAGGAGGGCAATGTACTAGATAGGAAGCAATAGCTAAAACTAATTGAAAATGTTACTATAGAAGAGATTCAAAATACTTTGAAGGGAATAGATGAACTAAAGGCCCCAGGGTGTGATGGCTTCAATTCAAAGTTCTTCAAGAAAACATGGGGAATTACAAGGCAAGAAGTATCTAAGGCAGTGCTCCAATTCTTCAACAAAGCTGAAATGTACAAGCCTATTAATGTAACAACTGTTACTTTGATCCCTAAGATTCAGCATCCTTCAACTGTCAAAGATTTCAGACCTATTTCATGCTGCACAGTACTATACAAGATCATCTTAAAAATTTTGACCAACAGAATGCAAGGGGTGATGGATCATCTAGTAGATAAGAGTCAATCTGGGTTTATTCCTGGAAGAGTCATAACAGATAACATAATCCTAAGTCATGAGCTGGTGAAAGGGTATGGGAGGAAGGGCATTCTCCTAGATGTATGATGAAATTAGACTTGCAAAAGGCATATGATTCTACAGAATGGGATTTCTTAGAACAACTGCTGAACAACCTAGGCATGCCAGAGAAGTTCGTAAAATGGATTATGGTGTGCATTAGAACAGTATCCTATTCCATTCTCATCAATGGAAAACCAATGGAACCATTTCAAGCCAGAAGAGGACTAAGACAGGGTGACCCATTGTCACCATTTCTATTTGTACTAGGTATGGAATATCTTACAAGAAGCTTCAAAACACTGAGGTATAAGCCGGATTTCAACTTCCATCCTAGGTGTGACAAGCTAAATATCATCCAACTGGGGTTTGCAGATGACCTCCTGCTATTCAGCAGAGGTGATACTATCTCCATTAAAATGGTATTCAATTGTTTTATGGAATTCTCTAAGGCATCTGGATTAAAAGCAAATACAGCAAAGAGCTCCATTTATTTTGGAGGGGTTCCACAGGTTATACAGGAAAGCATAGTGCAGGTAACTGGATTTAGCAGGGGAGAATTGCCATTCAAATATCTTGGAGTACCACTCAGCACTAAGAGGATATCTTTGATTCAATGCCAACCACTACTGGAGAAGATACTAGTCAGGATCACCTCATGGACTTCAAAGTTCTTATCTTATGCAGGAAGACTACAACTGATCAAAACAATTCTGTTCTCCATACAAATCTATTGGTCACACATCTTTGTTATCCCTAAGAAGATAATGAAGAAGATAGAAACAATCTGCAGAACATTCTTGTGGACTGGAAGAACAGAGGCTTCAAAAGGAGCTTTGTTATCATGGGAAAAAGTGTGCTCTCCAAAGACAACAGGTGGTTTCAATGTAACGCACATTCAGATATGGAATAAAGCTGCAATTTGCAAATTATTATGGAATCTGTGTAGGAAGAAGGACAAGTTATGGGTCCAATGGATCCATCTATATTACGGGAAGAAGCAAGAAGTATGGGATAGCAAACCAAGAAATGCATCATGGATAGTTCAGAAAATAATTAAAGCAAAGAGATACATAGAAGAAGCAGGAGTCAGCATGAAGGAATGGCAGAATGGAACTACTTCTCTATCAAGAAGTGGTACGATAGCATGAGAGGGCAATATCAAAAAGTATCATGGAGGAGACTAACGTGTAACAATCTAGGAGCTCCAAAGTGGATCTTTGTACTGAATTTAGCTATACAAAACAGGCTCCTTACAAGAAGCAGACTACACGTATGGGGGATTGCAGAAGAAGTAAGTTGTCCTTTATGTAATGAAGCAGAAGAGACTATTGATCATCTGTTGTTTAAATGTCGAATTGTTGGAGGTATATGGAGCAAGTTACTACATTGGCAGGAAATAATAAGATCTCCGATGGAATGGCAAAGGGAGATACAATGGGCTGAAGGCAAAGCAATTGGAAACAATGCACCTACTCAAGTTTATAGACTGACTTTGGCATGTGCAGTGTATCACATATGGAATGAAAGGAACAGAAGAGTATTTCAAGATCAGCAGAAAACAATGGAAATGATAGTGAGGCAAATTGTACTAGAAGTAGCAATTAGAGGATCGAAGAATAGCAAGACAGAAAAGAGAATAGCAGAAATAGATTACAATCTATAAAGGAAGATAGAAGAAATGTAGTAGAGGGAATGGAACTGGGAATGTCCTGTTCCAGATAGAACTTTATACATATTTGCTATTGATAAATAAAATTATTTAATAACCAAAAAAAATAATGGGAGAATAAAATGATGCGAACAAGAAAGAGGTCAATTTGAATTGTTAAGTGAAAAAATGATTTAATGCTCCTTTTCTCTTAGATAATTGTCGATCGTGCTGGTTAAGCGGTGCAGTTGTATGAATTAATTGACCGTAATAAACTTCCAATTATTTAGATAATTATAATGAGCATGAGACAACTATATTTGTTGATAATAAATTCCGATAATCTCTTCACCAAATATTCTAAATGCGATAGGGTCACAGATATTGGTGAGATTCACTAGGCTAAAGTACGCATCTGTGTAAGAACGCAATATAGTTAAGCCAAATGCCTGAAAATAATTCACGAGAAGGCACTGTTTAAAATGAATTTAATTGATAAAATTAAAGGGGGAAAATCAAAGAGGTCTTGAGAAATCATCGTCGGATATTAAATTCAAGAAATCGAAGCACAATTGATGAAGAAATTGAATAAACTCTAAGTATACGAGAGAGAAAAGATCGAATCTTATTCATCTAAAGAATATTCTAGACTAGGCGTTTATATACAAACTAAGGCTGGCTCCATTTGCAAACAAGAAGGCTACAAATACAAATAATATAAGCAATCGGGCCTTCTTTATGGTGGGTCGCTATTCTCTAATTGGGCAGAACTTTGGGTTCGGACTCCAACAGTTTCTCCTCTCCCCAAGCTTGAATGGACTACCAGTCGAAGCTTGAACAGAAAACACTACTAAAAAAGGGAAAAATCGAGTGCTAAAATCGATCGTTGTTGGTCGGTAATTGGCAAAAATCGACCGAAAATCGATCGATTCGTGGCAGTCGATAATCGTATGGTCGGTAGAGCCAACCGATCAACTTTGATGGTATTTTTCGACCAATTTCGGTCGGTCAATTAAATTTCAAAAGAAAAAATTACCGAAAAAAAACAGAACGAAGTCGATCGGTATTTTTAATTATGTAATTAAAAATACACCATCTGGGAATCGAACTGGGGTCTGTACTGTGGCAGGATACTATTCTACCACTAGACTATTGGTGCATTTTATTTTAAGACTATCTTTTATTTCATTTATACTCTTTAATTGCATTTTGCACGAAAATAATCGATCGATGTCTGTCGGTTTTATTTAAAAATAAAATTACCGACCGAAGTCGGCCGATTTTTTAAAATGATCGACCGAAAGTCGGTCGGTTTTTTGGATACTAATTATATTTATTTTAAATCAAAATTCAGCCAAAAATGGTCGGTTTCTTGAAAATAAATATCGCGGGACGCAAAAATAGTTTCCCCCATTTTTGCGCCAAATAAATCGACTGAAGTTGGTCGGTTTTGTTAAAAAAAAATATTATGAAAAATCGATCGACTTCGGTCGATTTTTCACCTAGTTTTGTGACCGACCGAACGCGGTCGATTTTAGCTGAATTTGTACTAGTGAAAGTGTCATGATGGGCACCTGATAATGCCTTGGTAAATACATCAGCCACCTGGTACCACTAGAAACATGTAAGACAATAAGGCCAGATTGTAACATCTCATGTACAAAATGACAATCAATTTCAATATGTTTAGTATGCTCGTGGAAGACCGGATTTTTAGAAATATGAATGGCAGAATGGTTGTCACAATGAACTGAAACTGGAATCAAGGAAGAGACCCCAAACTCACCAAGTAATCTGACAACCCAATTTATCGCAGCTACTACCTACCTCAAAGCTCTATAATTAGCTTCAATTGAGGAAAGAGCAATGGCAGCCTGTTTCTTTATAATGACCCGACCAGTCGTTTTGAGTTCTAAAATTCCATTTCCCTATTTGATGTTCCGTATGTTTTTTTGATGTTTTATGACTTATACGAATGGGTGGTTTGGTACCCAAAGGGGTCAGGAGTAATTTTGAACACTTAGTTCCTATTTGAGGCTTGAAGTTGGAAGAGTTGACCGAAAGTAACATTATGAGTAAACAATCTAGGATTGGTAATTTGAACATTCCAATAGGTTCATATAATGATTTTGGACTTGTACCTATGTTTGGTCCAGACGTCAGGTGGCTAGGTGCTTCTAGTCGAAAGTTAAAAATCTGAACTAAAGAGAATTTGAAATTTTGGTTTTGTTGCGTGATTTTAAATTTAGATGTTATTTTTTGGTGTTTTGAGCCCTTGGATACGTTTGTCTAGGGTCAAAATTCCGATCGCTATTATCTTCGAATTGGGGCGAAATTGTTCAAAATTAGTGTTGAAGTTTCATAGACTTGAAGATTTATCCATTCTTCTACTACATTTTAGCCGAGGATTTTCAGCAGTGTTGCTCTTCCCCGAGGACGTTTTTGTCCTCCATTTTCAAAGGGTTAGTTGTGCCAACATTCGTTTCCTTTCAATAAATTTTCTTAAAATTCTTGATTGTGGGGTGTCTTACTATAAGATCGATACTCTGTGCCATTGTTGATACCCACTTCAAGATTTCATCTCCCAAGCATAAAGTTTGAAACAGAGAATCAAAAAGGACTGCCATCTTCTTCATCATCTTGAAGAAGACAAGAATCACTGTGCAATTGTATTACACCCCTCTTTGCTCAGTTTCTTCAGTACCATTCAAATTTTCAATTGCAGCCAGCTCGTCGCAATCCATCACCGCCAGCCAGATTTTTGCTAACTTCAAGGGCTGCAATCCAGGTTCTATTGTTCCTCTCTTGTCTTAATATTTTAATAGTTTGCTATTTTAGCATAATTGTATCTCCCTGCCTGCCTATTTTGTTCTTGAATCTTTAGTTAGTATTTGTCCTAGCATTGTCAAATTAATTGCATTAGTGATGACTTTGCCTACTTATTTATATTGTTATCTACCTGTTTACATCTTTAATTTGAATGTTTATTTCATATATATCTAGTAGTTCTGCTCTAGTTTTGCACATTTTCTTTTTGGCCTATAGCTGTAGATTATAGTTTCGTTTAGCTTCTTTATTGTATTTCTTCACCTATTTTTTTGTCCTTTAGTTGTAGATTATTAGTTTTCTTTAGTTCCTTTATTTTACTTCTTCACCTGTTTTTCTGACCATTAGTTGTAGATTATAGTTCCCATTAGTTCCTTTATTTTATTTCCACACTTGTTTTGTGACCTTTAGTGGTAGATTATATTTTGGTGATTTATTTTATTTTGTCGCTTGTTTTTGTGATAGTGCTTGCATAGTGACTCCTAGATTATATTGGCTTTGGTGAATAATAGTAGGTTAAGGTCTTGTCCTCGGGGGTATCAGCGCGGGGGAGGGGGTAAGGAGGTAAGAGGGCTAGGGGAGCTTCTAGGCTGAGAGTGGGGTCTAAGAACATAGGAACTTTGACTGGAAAATCTGTAGATTTAGCAAAGATTCTCGAGAAAAGGAAGATTAATATAGCTTGTGTACAGGAGACTAGGTGGATAGGAGATAAGGCATGGGATTTGGACAGGTTCAAACTATGGTATTCTGGGAGGGTGGGAGGCAGGAACGAGGTAGGTATCTTGGTTGATAAGGACCTCTGTGAACTAGTGGTGGAGGTTAGGAGGGTGAATGACAGGCTGATAGTATTAAACTAGTTGTTGGAGGTTTTACTTTGAACATAATCAGTACGTACGCATCCCAAGCAATCTTGGATGAGGAAGTCAAAAGGCATTTTTGGGAGGATTTGTATGAGATGGTGCATGGTATCCCCCATACCGAGAAGCTTTTCATAGGAGGAGATTTCAACGGCCACATTGGAGCGACGCCTGGGGGGCATGATGATGTGCATGGTGGATTTGGTTTGGAGATAGAAACGGAGGAGGAACGTCTCTGCTGGACTTTGCTAGAGCATTTGATTTGGTGATAGCAAACTCGAGTTCCCGAAGAAGAGGGAGCACTTGGTCACTTTTCAGAGTTCGGTGGCCGAGACTCAGATTGATAATTTACTCTCCATGAAGTCCGATAGAGGTCTTTGCACGGATTTCAAGGTCATCCCGGGTGAGAACCTCTTGACCCTTCGTAGGTTCCTGGTCATGGACCTTGAGATCACAAGGAAGAGGAAGAAAAGGGCTATGTATAGCTAACATAGAATCAAGTGGGGAGCGTTGACGAAATCTAAAGTGCAGGAGTTGGGGGTCAAGTTGTTGATTATAGGGGCTTGGAGGAGTAGTGGGGACCCAAGCGCTATGTGGACCACGACTGTGCAGTGCATTAGGGAATCCACGAGAGAGGTATTAGGGGTCTCAAAGGGTTACTCTGGTTGTTACAAGGGAGACTGGTGGAATAGAGGTGCAAGGAAAAGTGGAAACCAAAAAAGCACGTATCTGAAGCTAGTGGAAAGTGTAGACGGGGAGGAGAAGAGGGCGAATAGAAAGCATTATAAGTTGGCTAAGAAAGAAGCAAAGCTAGCAGATACGGCAGCCAAGAATGCAGCTTTTAGTCGTTTGTATGAGGAACTCGAGGGCCGAGGTGGGGATAAGAGGTTATTCAGGTTAGCCAAGGTGCGAGAAAGGAAGGCGCGTGACTTGGACCGAGTGAAGTGCATCAAGGACGAAGAAGGTAGAGTTTTGTTGGATGAGGGGCTTATCCGTCGGAGATGGCAGACCTACTAGGTTGTCAGGTTGACAAAGGAAAGTGGTCGGGGATAAAGTGACCGAAAATGGGGTGGTTTTGGAAGCGTCGTCATGGACAGATATGCCAACTCCCTGATCTGTTGTACATCTTCCCTTAACGACTCCATTTTTTGTTCTATCCAAGCGACGTGTTCATCATTTTGAGTTTCATCCGTTCCCCCGATCTCCCCTAGGTTGTCAATTAGTATCAGAGCATTTCTGTCCGAGTTGTCTATAGTAGTCATCTTTCTTTTGGACCTCAGGTCATACGGCAACTTAGCCCGTTTAGATATCAACACAAATCAACCTCTATTTTTTGGAGGGATAAATAAGTAAAGCAGTAAAGTAAGAAAACAAACAAGAGTATAAGTTAGTTCAAGGATTGCACAGCTATAATCACATAAAGCAGTTAATTCACATATTTGAAAAAGCGCGTTCCTAAAAATATTCAAGGACCTCTCTTTGCTAGAGATAGGCCTATACCACAAGTACTTGACAAATATCCAAATTTTGACACATTCGGATCCGAAGCGAATATTGTTTTTCATTGATGGGAAATTTAATAGTTACAATGTGGATTACAAAGACATCAAGGCTTCCATTGATACAAAAGATGAGGGATAATTCTCCAAATTCTACATTGTAATTCCTTCGGGGTGTACAAAGATTTCATGGGCTTATAGAGTTGCCCTTAGGGAATTTAAAGAGTACAGAATGGAAATCAACCACAACTCAATAATCATCCCTAGAATTTCTTCTCAAGCTCTCCTCCTCTAGATTTTTTTCAGGCTTCCTCGAATTCTTCCTCGACATCATCAAAATTATACTCTAACTCTTCTTCTGGATCCTCCTCTGGTTCTTCCTCGAATTCAATTTGTATGTACTCCATTATCCGATTGTCATCATCAGGCGGCAGCAATATGTGATCAATCGATCCATGGACTACTTGTTGGTGCATGGTAGGGGTGACAAGATAGTAAGGTAGGATCTCATTGTATACTTGCAAAGCAGCTCTTGAGTCTTCTAACCCAGCTAACCCTTCCCTACTTGGCCTGGCCAGCTTATCTTCTTCAGTAATCCACACAAAGAACTCAGGCGTATACCATAAGTTTTGTTACTCATCGTGACCAAGTCAGTCCACTCGTCTTGAAGTCGTCTTGCCCACGGAACTGGAACTTGCCCATTGTAGTCGTCCTCAAACAAAGCCATTCGAGATCAAAGCGGTATGTCTTGAACTAAGCTGAACTACCTCAGGACGCTCAGCGGTGCATATATCTGAATCCTTCCAATCCCATTAACTTGATGAAATACTTCTATAGGCCTCACACAATTGCTCTGTTACTTAACCAAGAAAGCTTCCAGTTGATGAACTCTCCAGTTAGGAGGGTCAGAAATTCCCGCTATTCATCTTGACCATGTGGTGTTGCCCAATACCTCAATCTTTCTTCGTGATTGTGGATAATATTGCTAATGGAGATGAAGTAATCGATTGTCCCTTTGGGAGAAATTCTCCGTAGCCCATATTTGCGACAGCAGGTTGAAATCTCTAAAGGAATCATACCCCCTTGAACATGCTGATAGTGCCCTGAACATCTCCGCAACAACATTGGGACAAGAGTGACCCGCAAATTCCCTCAGAATGTGGCCAAGATCAGAGGTAGTATACTGTTGTTGATCACCTTCCATTGTGGGAAAACTAGCATTCCCAACATTGTCAAAGAAATAGTCAAGGGGCGAAGGCTCTCCCAACAACAACAACAAACCCAGTTTGATCCCAACAAATGGGGTCTGGGGAGGGTAGTCTGTATGCAGACCTTACCCCTACCTAATGTAGGTAGAGAGGCTGTTTCCAATAGACCCTCAGCTCAGGAAGGGTTGGGCGAAGGCTCTCCCATGTTTCCTTATTACACTGAAACTCCTTAAGATACAAATTGTAGCTTATGCGATTCCCAAATCTATCAAATAGCTGATGTAGGCTCACTCACCCGTCTTTGACACTTCTCAAGTTCCTATTACTCTTAAATCCCAACGCACAAAAAAACCTGTGACCCGGCATGATGACCGGCAGTATGGGCTTTTGGTCGGCGAATGGCAATTCAGTGAAACTGGTAACTTCCTCAAGTGTTGGTGTCAGCTCAGAGTCAACCAACTAGGCTAGATCCTATAACTCTATTAACAACCTAGTAAGTACTCTATCAGCTCAGACATTCATTAATATGGTCAGTACTCGGAGATATGTTCTAATTCCATCTTCGTGTTCTCGTTGGATATTTATCCACCACTGTTTCAATTTGTGGGGTGGCCCCATAACCATGCTAATTTTTGGGATGTTATGGTTGATTTTCATCTAAAAGGGAAGAAAGGCTGGGTAAGTGTTTTGCTCTGAATCCTTGGTGTCTTAATCTGGGTTGATCCGTCATTCCATAGAAGGCATGTCATTAGGTGCATGACTCGATGACAATAGGGTGGCTTTCCTAATCGTTTCAATACTAAGGATCACCTAAGGTATATGCAGCATGACCTATATTTGCTATGAGTAGAGTGTTTCCTAAATTTTGGAGTTGGACTGAACAACTGCAAGACTACATGTCAGTTGACCTAACAATGTCATTCTCTGAAAGTAGTGAGTTTTGAAAAGAAGGTTCAAAGGGGTAAAAAGACAACCCTCGCATGACTTGTGTGTGAGTGTGTACGACCAAGACTCGATAAATATGATGACAGTGTGTAATGCAGTAACAAGTAATTGTGTTGAGTCAGTGATGATATTAAGAATAAAGGAGATAGACACATACTTGTAGGTTACGAAGTCATGTAAAGTATATAACAAATTATTAAGAAGGTAAACATAAATTTGCAGATGTAAAAACATAGTAAAGTGTCAAGCAAAATATAACATAAAAATATATCCTGGAGCTTCAACGTCTAGCCTAAGCCTGCTCAGAACCTAAGTGTAAGTCCCCAGCAGAGTCGCCATGTTGTAGACCAGATCTGAAAGAGAAGATTCACTATTTGGAATTCCAAGTGACATGATTCCTCCTTTAGAAGCTAAAGTTTAATGATCAGATCTCCTTAGGTTCAGTCCGAGAATCCCTATGTTTGAGATTGAGCAACTACGCTTTTGTTGGTCAAGGTTAGATTCTCATATACCGCCACTATCATCGTGGATCATTCTCACTGATGTCTTGTTAACTGAGAAAACTCTACCAGGTATTTACTTATGGTGTGTTTACCCCCTAAATTAAACACTTCCTTTAAATACATTTCCAAGCTAAAAACAAAAAAAATGAATTTGACTAATAAGAACTAAACTAAATACCAGAATGCATAACCCTATTCAAACCCAGTTTTCATATTCTTATCTGTTCAAGAACAATTTATTTTCACTTACAGATTTACAAATAAAATACTCTATGCTTGGGTCATTGATAGAATTGAATACAGATAAAGACCTTTTATTAGAAAAACTACAAAATTCGCTTCGGTGATACTGAGTTTGTTGAATTTGCAGTTAAATGGTAGATTACTACCAATTCACCAGAAAAAATAGTACGGTAAATTAAGGGATAATTGCACTTTTGGTCCTAAATTATAGGTAGATTTTGGATTTTTATTGTTGTGATATTTATTAACCTTCAACTAATTAAAATGTGTGTTTTTGATCCCTTTCCCTTTATATAGAATTTGCTTTACCCGTAAGATATTACAATTGAATTTATACGAGGTTTCTAGACAAGTGAATTAATTCGATCCGAAAATAATGAAATAATTGAAGAATTATGTCACACTTAGCCTTTATATCAAGACGAAAAAATAGAAATAATGATTATGGTAACGAGGCCTCCGGGCGCAACAGTAATAAGAACAAAAAGTAAGAAGATAAAGTTATATAGAGCTTTGAATAGATTATAGTATTAGTTTGTCAGTAAATTCGTGTCATTTACAACGATAACATAGCTCACTATTTATAGCTACGTCTAGGGAACAAGGTTCCCTAGGATCGTGCCCTTCTTTAATGTCAGTTATGAGAGCCATTGATGAAGGTATAACGGTGAGCATAAATGATAAATTCTTTGTAACGGGCAGTGCACTCAATGCTGTGGAATATTCTTCATTAATGCCATCGGGTGGAGGGTATTTATTGCTTCTTTATGAGTGTCATTCCCTCCGGTACCAAACGGAATAATTGCCTTCGGTTCCACGTGTCATTCTTTAAAGCGGCCACCTGGCATATCATATTTTACCCTATACAGATAGTCCTCCTGCTTTCCGGTGACATAGCTTTGTGTCACGGGGAAGTTAGTAAAAACACTCTTTTGGCGGGAATTACTATGATTCCTTCTGAAAGGCTTCTGACGGTTGATTAGACGCACGTTTCTCTGCATTTAATGCCCCGAACACACGTCATCCCAAGATTCAGCATAGCTTTTGCCAGTTATTGAGGTAATCATGGCCATGAATTTAGCCGCCTACACTTTTACTTATACGCATCAATATTCTTCACTCATACTCCATAACTTTCCAAGCTTTCTAAAATCTTCTTTATTGTTCTTAAACCTTTCTTTAACTCCCTTCAAACGGAAAAGCTTTTCTTTCATCCAAATGGCTTCTTCTTCAAAGAACAAGAGCAAAGCCGAGGACGTTGCTCCTCCAACAGTGGATTCCATCATCCTTAGTAGTCTTGTTACAACAAAAGACTTCGAAGAGAAATTCCCTTCGGTTATCCCTCGAACGTGGGCCGTTGGCAGATACACTTCTTCTATCTGTCCTTCTAGTATTTTGTGAAGGAAGATTGCCAATGTCATGATTTGGACATTATTACTCCTGATCTAACAGAGCAAGTAACCCTACCCAGGAAGGGTTTTACATATTTTTACGCATATCCCTTTACTTTGGGTGCGTTCTCTTTGAGTGGAGAGCTTGACTCTGTTATTGTGGAGTTCTGCCTCCGCTACCAGGTGTGTTTGGCACAAGTCCTTCTGTGTGGAGGACGATTTCTTGTC